CATTATTATGATAAGTAAAATAAGTCAGGCACAAAGGGACAGATATTGTTTGATTCCACTTATATGAGGTACCTAGAATAGTCAAATTATACATAGAAACAGAAAGTAGAACAATGGTTACTAGGGAATTTGGTATCCATTGTGGGGGGAAAGAAAGTTATTGTTTAATGTGTACAGAGTTTCAGTATGGGATAAAGGAAACGTTTTGAAAATGGATAGTGGTAATGGTTACACAGCAGTGTGAAAGTACTTAATGTCACTTAATGGTATACGTAAAACTAGTTTTGTATTAGGTATACTTGACTTTATAAGAAATAAATCAATAAAACATCAACAGGAAAAGTATGATCCATTCATAAATAAGTATTTTTGTACAAATACAAGTACAGATATAAGTTTCAGATATATCTGAAAGGATGATCACCAAAATATTTGTGGTATTATGTGTGGGTGGTAGAATTTCAGGGTGGTTTTAACTTTCCTATTTATACTTTTCTGCATCGATATGTATATTATTACTTTTATACTCATGGGGAGAGATATAGAAGCCATACTATTTTCATTTGAGAAGGGGGCAATGTATATGGTCTAAATTCATTCTAGTATTGTCTATGATGAGTACTCTAAGTGTATTACACATCTAACTGAAAGCTAAAACTCTGGACTACATGAGTTCTCCATAAGAAGATGAGAATTACTTGTACTTATACTTTGCTTTATTGAGGTTACTACTGTTTTTCTCTTTAAACTTTTTTTTCAAGTAGATCATACACACAGAAAAGCATACATTACTGTAGAGATATACAAATTTTCACAAATTAAACACACCCATGTAACCACCATATCAAGAAACAAAGTATTACAAAAGTCTCTCTATGTCTGCCTTAATGCACCATGCCCCCCAAGGGTAACCAGTACTCTGACTTCAAGATCATAGGTTAATTTTGCAGATTCTAGGTTTTGCACTGGTATTTTTTACAAAATCTATTCACCTTGACTGCTAATATAAAACCAAATGAAAGACAAGTCTATGATAAATTTTTATAACCAAGTAACATTTATTTTATTAATGTTTATTTTGAGGGGTGCGGGTGGAGAGAATCCCAAGCAGGCTCCAGGCTCAGTGCAGAGCCTGACTTGGGGCTTGATCTCCATCCCATGAACTCTGAGACCATGACCTGAGCCAAAATCAAGAGTTAAGCATAACAGACTGAGCCATTCAGGCACGAAAATTCAGTAATTTTTAAAAGAAATTTTAAAAAGAAAAAACTTATATTTACTTACATATTTAATATTTCCAGCATGCTTCATGCCTCTGGGTAGATCCCAGTTTGTATCTGGTATAATTTTCCTTCAGCTCACAACTTCCTTTAACATTGCTTGTACTATAGATTTCCTGGCAGCAAATTCTCTTGGCTTTTGTATAAAAATAGCTTTGTTTCACCTCCACTTCAGAATGCTATTTTCACTGGATATAGAATTCTAGGATAATGTTGAGTTCTTTTCTTTCTTTCAGCACATTAAAGATGTTTTGGTTTGAGGTGCCTGGGTACCTCAGTTGGTTGAGCATCTGACTCCTGACTTTATTTCAGTTCAGGTCACGATCCCAGAGCCTGGGATTGAGCCCTGAGTTGGGCTCCAAACTCAGTGTGGGGCCTGCTTAAGAATCTCTCCCTCTCTCTGCCCCTCTCCCCTGCTCGTTCTCTGTCTCCAAAAATAATTAAAATAATTTAAGAAACAGGAAAAAAAGATGTTTTGGTTTGCATTGCTTCTGAAAGAAAATTTTAATCATCCTTATCGTTTTGTTTTTTAATGTGATTTTTTTCTCGGACTGTCTTCTCTCTTGATTGTTAACTTTCAGTAATTTGAATATGACATGCTGTGGTATGTTTTTGTTTGTATTATCCTCGACACATGACACCACTTGATATTGTTCCACAGGTCACTGATGCTGTGTTCATACATATTTTCCTTTACTTTTTTTCCCTCTGTATTATAGTTTAGTTTGTACTACTTTCACTGATCTTATTTTTTATACTGTCTTATGTGCTTCTTTAACTCATGCAGTGAAGTTTTCATTTTATTTCAATTTATTTCTAAATCCTAGAAGTTCCATTTTATTCTTTTCTGTATCTTCTATTTATCCCATTATATCCATGTTTTCCTTTAAATTCCTTAACATATTTATAATAGCTGTTTAAATGCTTGTCTGCTTTTTCAACCACCCCTTTTTTTCTGGGTCTATTTGTATCACCTGATTTTTTTTTCCTGATTCTGAATCACACTTTACTGCTTCTTTCTAGTCATTTTTCATGGGATGTTGGGCACTCTAAATGTTTCATTTTAAGTGTCTGAATTTTTTGGTCTTTCTTTAAAGAGCATTCACCTTTATTGGCATTTAAGCTGTCTGCAGATCAGCTTTCAAGAACTTTTTTTCTGGTTTACTTTTGAGAGAAAGAGAGAGCGAGAAAGAAAGCAAGCGCACACATGAGCGGGGGAGGGCCCCAGAGAGAGGGAGACAGAGAATCCAAAACAGGCACTGCGCCATCAGCACAAAACCTGACATAGGGGATGAACCCATGAACCAAGAGTTCATGAGATCATGCCCTGAGCCAAAGTCGGATGCTCAACCAACTGAGCCACTCAGGTTTAGGCCCCAAGAGCTGTTTTTAAGCTTTGCTGGTGAGGGCTTATGGTTGCCTTTAATCTAGGCCTGCCTTAGCCTTAATATTAAGACGTGATCTTTCTGGGTTCTCTACTGAATGTCCAAGATGTTCAACAAAGTCTCTTTCCTGTGTCTTATCAGAACTCTACCATCTCTCAATTTTGTTAGCTCTAACAATTGTTTAGCTTATAGTGTATTTGTTTTGTCCCCAGTAATTGTTCTTTGCCTAGCTTCTTGAAATCTCATTCTAAGTATGCAGAGCTTAGAATTCAGCCAAAGACTCCATGGTACACTGTGTAGGCATTTAGAGCTTTCTCTGGGTACTGCCCCTCTCTCTGATATTTTGCCCCACAAATTCCAGTCACTACAGCCTCCCTGAACCCTGACCTCTGCCTCCTCAACCCCAAGACCACCATGCTCTGCTTAGAATTTCCTCCCATATGCTACAATCAGAAAGTTTCTCCAGGCTGAAAATCAGGACCATATTAAGACTCTCTTTGTGGGGCACCTGGGTAGGCTCAGTCGGTTGAGCATCTGACTCTTGACTTCAACTCAAGTTATGATCTCATGGTTCGTGCGATTGAGCCCCATGTTGGACTCTATGCTGACAGCATGGAGCCTACTTAGGATTTTGTCTCTCCCTCTGCCTCTCCCCACCGACCCAACTCTCTCAAAATAAATAAACAAACTTAAAAAAAAAAACAACTCTGTTTCCCTCTTCCTGGAAAAAAAAAAAAAAATCCTTTGCTGTCAGTTGTCCAAGGTTTGAAAACCGAAGTTTCACAGAATTTGTCCAGTTTTTTCCTTTATTTACGATGGAAGTGCAAATCTAAAATCACTACTCCATCATGCCTGGGAATAGAATTTCCTGTTCCAATTCCTTTCTTGAGGGAGTGATACTGGAATACACTGCTGGTATTTTCTCTAATTATGAAAGTGTTAAAAATCATAAAAGTTTTAAACATTACTATCTCTTTGCAAGTCACTTTAATTTTAAGCTGTACTTTACAACAACATTTAGAAATATATTTTCCTTGCGGGGCACCTGGGTGGCTTAGTAGGTTAAGTGTCTAACTTGGGCTCAGGTCACGATCTTGTGGTTCAGGAATTCAAGCCCCACATCAGGCTCTCTGCTGTCAGCACAGAGCCTGCTTCAGATCCTCTGTCCCCCTCTAAATCTCCCCTGCTGGTTCTCTCTCTTTCAAAATAAATAAGTACACTTTAAAAATATATTTAAAAAAAGAAAGAAATATATTTTCCTCGGGGTGCCCAAGCCTGGGTTGTTCGGTCAGTTGAGCATCCGACTCTTGATTTTGGCTCAGGTCAAACTCACAGTTTGTGAGTTCGAGCCCCACATCTGGCTCTCTGCTGTCAGCACAGAGCCTGCTTCAGATACTGTCTCCTGCTCTCTCTGCCCCTCCACTCCCACCCCGCCCCCTCAAAAATAAATATTAAAAAAACTTTTTTTAATGTATTTTTCTCAATTTATAGCTATGCTAAGATAAACAAAACAGTGATGAAAATGGAATTGCACTGCATTCCTTACCCAAAATTTAACATGAATTTCATAAGATCATTTCTTCATAGGTAAGATGAGGTTTCTTTACTTCCTTTTTACAATGGCTTAAAACACAACTGTTTCTTTTACAATTCTAGTGGCCAAAATTCTAAAATTAAAGTGTTGGAAGGACTGTGTTCTTCTGGAAGCTTCAAGGAATAATCAATTTCCTTGCCTTCTTTAGCTTCTAGAGGACAACTGCATGGCTCATGACCTCCTTCTCCATCTTCAAAGGACATTACCCTAACATCTGGTTCCATGGCCACATCTCCTTTTTTCTCACTTTTTCTCAACATCATATTTCCTTCTTGTAAGGCTCCTTGTGATTACACTGGACCCACCCAGACACCCAGGATAATCTCTCCACCTGATGATCCCTAATTTGATCACATCTGCAAAGTCCCTTTTGTCACATAAGTGACATATTTACAGATTCTTGAGATTCAAAAGTGGACATCTTTGGAAGGTCATTATTCTATCCATCACAGTATGTGAGCACCAGCTTTATTTCCAACACTAACCTAATCTCTAGGAAGTCAGAGATAATGAACATAGCCCCTTGAATAGCTAAATTGAAGGCCAGAGGAAAGACTTAGCTCTTACAAAATGTATATGCTTTTCTTACAATGATTAGAAAGCAAAATGATTAGGACAGCTATAAACAATTCATATAAGAATAAACTATGTCTTACAATAGGTAGATGCAGTTTATTTCTATGAACTAATACAAAATACACCAAAAGGGTAAGGAATAGGAGACATAAAATTATAATTTACCTCGTATTTGCCTGTCAACAACTCTCATTTCCTTTCTTATCTTCAATGACCATTCATTGACCTGGGAAAAATTTTAGAAAAGGAATTAAAACAAAAGCCAAAACTCCTAATTCACCAAATTTTAAAGAATTTTGTGTTAACTCTACATTTATTCCAGACACAAAATCAGTAAATTCGTTTTCAAACAAAAGCTTTAGGGCCAAATTCTATTTTTCTTCCATGTTTTTATTCACAGTACATAGAAGTCACAAGCTATTTAAAGATTCTTATCTGAATGCAGGCAGTAAGAAGCACTTTACAGAAGACCTCAGAGAGAGTTCAACACCCTGCAGGTACATCAACATTTTTCAAGAGGTGCACAGGCATAAATAGATAGGTTTTAAGGGCATCAGAAGATTTTCAACATCTAAACGTAACTATTTCAAAACTTGCTCTGCCTGTGTCACCTTTTCCTTCCCCTTTTTAACAATGTTTTTTTTCATTTTACAAACAACAGAAATTCCTCTGACCTATGTCTCTTATTACCATGATATATTTCCCTCAGAGGCAAAAACCTCTAAAGCACTAAACATAGGGCCAGCTGGAAATACTAGTGTAGGTATTGAGGAAACACTAAACTACTCTAATGACTATCAAATTCTTAAGCAACTGAAGTGTTTTCTAATTCTTCAGTTGCAAAAAAAATACGAAGGAAAATCTGAGTTGTCAGCTGATGAACCATTAAAACTAAATTTACATTACATCACTTTACGCTCTTTGGCATACGATAATTTCAAAGAACTCGGGAACAATGAAATAATAAAACTTCCATTACCATCTATTTATATTAACAATGTTTCTCAACATTAGAGTCTAATGAAACATAAAAGAGGGCTTTCTTCCGGTTGTGGCACCTTGTGATGAGGCTCTCTTGTCCATACTCCTAGCCAGTGCCGTCCAAAGGCTCTCTGCAGTTGGCACAGGTCTTTGGAGGCAGGAGGATGGTCACAGGTGTGGCACACTGCAATTGGGGTACCAGCCTCATTAGGTGAATGGGCGATCCCTGGAGATGGTCCAACTAGGCATGCTGCAACACAAGCTACTGAAACCTGCCCTGCTTCTGGGCAAGGAGCAACTCGCTGGCATGCACCTCTGTGTCTGTACAGAGGGTGGTGGTCACATGGCACAGATTCACACATTCGGTCCACCTCCAAGCCATGGTGGCCTAAGGAAAGACATCCTCATCTGGTGTGACTGGCCCCTACTGGTAGCTGACCTCCATCTCTGCCAATCCAAAACGTTTACCTGTGATCACTACCAGAAATCCAACCAATAAGCCCATGATAAGCATCAGGGTTCACCTTTATAATAAACAATGGCTGTGGGATTTTAAATTAAAAATAATAAATAAAATGGGAATAGAAATGATGCTGAACCATGCAGTATTCATCCATGGGCACATGAACTAAATGGCATTAAAAAAATCTATACAATTAAAAGATGTAGTTCCAATAAATTTCACTTTTTAATGATTTCATTAAAATCATTATTTAACAAAATCTGTACAAAATTTATTTTGCAACAACTATAATAACTCCAACCAAGAAGAAGAAAGTAAACAGTAAAGGACTTAAAACCATATGGATATAAACTTTTTAAAATTTTAACAGGTTTATAGGCATTTTTTAGGTAAAATTCACATTACAATTAGTCATTTCAAAATACACAATTCAGGGACACTTAGTGCCTTCACAATGTTTTCCAATCAACTCTCTCCAGTTTCAAAACTTTTTTAACATGTCAGAAGAATACACCATACCCTTTAAATGATCTCTCCCTATGTCCTCCTTCCCCATTCCCTGGCAACCACTAATTTGCTCTCTTTTGATCTGCTTATTTTTACTATTTCATATAAAAGGGATCACACAATATGTAGTCCTTTGTGCCTGGCTTCTTTCATTTAGTACAGTGTTTGGGGGTTTGAAGTATCAATACTTCAGTACTTTTCATGGCTGAGTAATATTCATCGTATGTATACACCACAACTTGTTCACTCATACATCCTTTGATGGATATCTGGGTTGTTTCTGTCTTTTAGTTACTGTGCTGCCATGAACATTCATATACAAGTATTTATTAGAATTCCTATTTTCAGTTCTTTGGAATATAGACCTAGGAGTAGAATTGCTGCATCATATGGTGATTCTATGTTTATCGTTTTTAGAAACTCCCCAACTATTTTAGAAAGAAGCTTCACCATTTTACATTCACTCCAGCAATGTTCAAGGGTTATTTCTCCACGTCCTCACCAACACTTGTTACCCTCCATTTTTTTTTTTTTATTACCGCCAATCTGTTGGACCTGCAGAAACAGTATCTCATTGTGGTTTTGATTTGCATTTCCTTAATGACCAGTGAAGTTAAGTATCTTTTCATGTGCTTGTTGGCCATTGGCGTATCTTCTTTGGAGAAACACCTATTCATGTCTTCTTTCCATTTTTTTAAGTTTAGCTGTCTTGTTGTTGCTGGTTGTATGAGTTCTTTTACATTCTGACAGTAGAACCTTATCAGATATGTCATTTACAAATATATTCTCCCATCCTATAGCTTACCTTTTCACTTTCTTGATAATGTCCTTTGATGCATGAAAGCTTTTAATTTTGATGAATTTCAATTTGTCTATTTTTGCTTTTGGTGCTTGTGCTTCTGGTGTCATAGCTGAAAATCCATTGCCAGATATAAGGTCATGAAGATTTATCCCTATGTTTTTATCTAAGAATTTTATGGTTTTCTAAGAGCTTTAACTTAATTTCTGTATATGGAATGATGTATGAGTTCAGCTTCATTTCTCTACTTGTGAATATCCATTTGTCCCAGCACCATTTGTTGAAAAGACTACCCACTATTAAATGGTCTTAGCACCCTTGCAGAAAATCAACTGGTCATACATGTATGGGCCTATGTGTCTATCCTTATACCAATACCACCCCGTTTACATTACTATAGCTTCATAGTAACTTCTGAAATCAGAAACTATGAATTCTCCAAATTTGTTTTTCTTTTTCAGTATTGTTTTGGCTATTCAGGGCCTGTTATATTACATATGAAATTTGAGAATCAACTTTTCCTTTTGAAATTTTGATAGGCATTGTATTGAATCTGCAGATTGCTTTGGGTGGTACTGCCATCTTAACAGCATTAAGTCTTGCAACCCATGATTCTGAAATTTCTTCCAGCAATATTTTGTAGTTTTCAGTGTATAAATATTTTGCTTCGTTGGTTAAACTTATTCCTCAATATTTTGTTCTTTTAGATACCTTTGTAAACAAATGTTTTTCTGTATTTCCTTTTAAGAGTTTTCATTGCAGGTGTAAAAACTACAACTAATTATTTTATAATTGTCCTGAAACCTGAAAATTTGCTGAATTCACTTAATAAGTATCTTGTACATGAGGATTCTTTGGGAGTTTTCTATGTATGGAACCATGCCATCTGCAAATATAGTTTTACTTCTTCCTTTTCAATGTGGGTATCTTTTATTTATTTTTCTTGCCTAAGTACTCTAGCTAAAACTTCTAGTACAATATTGAACAGTAGTGGCAAAAGCAGGTATCTTTATCTTGCTCCTAATCTTAGAAAAAAAGCTTTCAGTCTTTCACATTACTACATAGTTAGCTGTAGTTTTCCATAAATGCCCTTTATTTATCATGTTAAGAGAGCTCTCTTCTATTCCTAGTTTGCTGAGCATTTTTCTCATAAGAGGTATGTATGTATTTTGTTACAAGTATAATAGGATGACTGTTAAATTATTTCAAGCATAGAAGTATCACATTAGGAGAAATTCATGTGGTGAAAGTAGAATGGAAACAAATGGCAATTCTCTTTTGAAGAAGAAAGAGAATAATGAAAAAATGCCTGACTATAAATAAGAATGTGTGCATGTATGTTTCAAATGAATACTGATGGGGATCAAATTGCCGTGATGCTTTTAAAAGAGTGATATAACAATTTTACGGTATTTCAATATGCCAAAAATTACATCCTGTGCAACTTTACTTAAAATTGTAACAAATATTAAATATTGATTTATAACTGTCCAAAAGGGTACACAAGTTGTCAAAATTATTTTAAGAGATATAGGAAGAAATTTGAAGACACTCTTATAATCTAACCAGAACTTCAGAACCAGCAGGAAAGGAAACCCAAGACTCATACATTCATTCAAACGTTTACTGAGTACCTGCTCAATGTGCTAGCGATATAGCAGGAGACAACGACTCCACCTTATGAACTTACATTCTAATAAAGAAAAGGACAGTAAGCAAATAAACAAGTAAATACTCTGTCACAAAACGAGTGCTACAGAGAAAATGAAGCAAGGAAAATAGGATGAGAGCAGTGGCGGGGGAGATTTGCTATTTTTTATAGGGTGATGGAAGAAAGCTCAACTACTAAGGTGACTTTTGAGCAGAGACCTCAAAAAGTTTGTAAGGGAACCATGTGAGTATCCACTATGGTGGACTGGGGAGGAGGGGAGGAGAAAGGGGCTGTAACATTTTACTCAGCAAAAACAAAAACCACTAAAGGACCTAGGCAAAACAGTGTCCTTTTCTATAGACTAAGGGGACGGAGTACAAAAATAAATGTGGTTAAATAATGTTTGTCTGAACTGGCAACATTGATGGGTAAAGCTATTTGATTCAAGTTGCGAGAAAAAAAACATTTACGTCTATTATATTATAGCAATGAGTTTTGTAAGGCAGCAAGTTATTCCTAATCTGGTGCTAAACATAAATTTTAGATTTTTATTTTCATGGGTCAAATATTGATTAGTTCCTATTATTTCTGCTTTCAACTGCTAATTCCTGAGGATAGCCAATCAAGTGGAAGCAATGCACCCATGAAGAGTACCAACTTGTAGCAGTTACTAAAATTCCAGGAACCACAACTACGATAGGTTTCACAATTCAAATTTAAGCCTTAAAATGAGGCAGAATGGGGGCGCCTGGGTGGCGCAGTCGGTTGGGCGTCCGACTTCAGCCAGGTCACGATCTCGCGGTCCGGGAGTTCGAGCCCTGCCTC